GGTCCAAAAGACCAAAAATCGTATGTTCTCCCTTATATGCAAACATTAGATCAAGGGCAAACACAAGGGGATTGGACTTTGATCACATGATAAAACGAGAGCACACAAGGGAGATATGAGGATAGGTAAGACACCCAAAAAACTAGATAGCATTTGTTGCCCTCAACACAGAGAAACTAATGCAGATACTTTAAAGCAACTGAGGCCAATAGGAAAAGGGGACCAGAAACTAGAGAAAAGGTTAGTTCAACAAGAATTAACTTAGAAGGTAACACACATGTACAGAAAAGCAATGTGAGTCAACTCCCTGTATAGCTATCCTTATCTCAACTAACAAAAACCCTTGGTCCTTCCTATTATTACTTATACTCTCTCTTCAACAAAACTAGAGATAAGGACAAAATAGTTTCTGCCTGGTAGCAAGGGGCTAGAGGGGTAAGGGAGAGAGGGAGGGGCGGGGGAAAGGGGGGAGAAATGACCCAAACATTGTATGCACATATGAATATAATAAAAAAAGAAAAAATAAATTTACCTTGTATGCACATATGAATAATAAAAGAAAAATGAAAAAAAAAAGAATTACACAACTGGATGTTTTAAAAATTCACTTAAAAAATAAAATGGCTCATTGCTTTTAAATAAATAAATAAATAAATAAATAAATTTTAAAAATTCTAATTTAAAAAAAAAAAAGAAAACCTTCACAAAAAAGGGCTGGTGGAGTGGCTCAAAGTGTAGGCCTGGAGTCCAAACCCCAGCACCTCAAAAGAAAAAAAAAAGAAGAAACAATTCAAACATCTATAGCAGGTACAAAATGGTCCACTGACTATCTTAATTTGGAATGCATGCTAGGTTTACATGCTAAGCAAAAGTGTTGGTTAGAACCAAGATGACTCCATTCATGTCAATTTGGATCTACACAGCACTTGAATTCCTGAATGACTACATAATAAGTAGAATTTCCCTACTAATATAGGGGACAAATAATATGAATGAAAAAATAAATCTCTGGTATATTTATCACTGAGATTTTAGGTTTGTTTGTTACCACATAATAATATACTTTGCCCAATACATAGAGCAAGCTGTTATTCTTCAGGAGTATCTTGTCTGTCTTTCACTGTCATATAAATACCCAGAAATGACTTTTCTCAGCTTCTAAGAAAAAAATGTAATAATCATAATAATAATTAATACTAACCCACTGGAAAACATGGAAATGTTAGAAATTAGTAGGCATTATCTAAAAACATTTCACACATATATATATATCCTATGATTCAGTAATCCCAATTCTGGGCATGTACATAAAATAACTGTGGTCAGGCCCATGTGGCTCACACCTATAATACTAGCTAGCTACTTGGGAGGCTGAGATTGGGAGGATTGTTGTTCTAGGCAAACCTGGGCAAATAGTTTGTGAGACTCCATCTCCAAAATAACCAGAGCAAAGTGGACTGAAGGTGAGACTAAAGCAATAGAGTGCCTACATTGTAAGTGGAAGCCCTGAGTTCAAACCACAGTCCCATTGAAAAATAAATAAATAAAAGAAACATGGACACATATACAGACATATACAAGAATGTTCTCAGCACTATTGTTCATAAAAATCAAAACACTGGAAACATTCCAAATGATTAACATCAGTAGAATGGATAAAATGATTTATTTGCACAAAGAAATACCAAATAATGAAAATAAACTAAATCAACATACAACGTGGATGATTTTATAAACACATTGCTGAACTAAAGAAAATACATAAAATTTAAAGCAAATTATTCCATTTACAATAAAGTTTCAAAAACAAGCTGGATTTTTATTCATTCATTCATTCATTCATTCATTCATTCATTTATTTATTTATTTATTTATTTATTTATTTATTGTGTGTGTGTGTGTGTGTGTGTGTGTGTGCGCCACTGGGGATCAAACCAAACCAAGAGCCTCAAACATGCTAGGTAAGTGCTCTATCACTGAACCACATCACCTGGCTTTGGTTTAGTTTGGTTTGGTTTTCTAATAGTCCATCACCTCATTTACAAATAATGACAATTTTGTTTCCTTTTATTTACCCTTTGTGTCTTTCTATTGTTTTTCTTGTATTACCTACCAGAATTGGGTTCAGTGAGGAATTGTATTATTTTCATATCTTATGAAAATATTTTTCAAATGGGCAACAAAGAGACATCCCACAGGAAGACTTAGGTTCTGATGGGCCCTCCAGGTTACTCCTTCATATACTCATTATTCCTTTATTCCCTTTTTTTTTTTTTTTTTTCAGTACTAGAGTTTAAACTAGTGCTCTACTACTTGAGGCACTCTACCAGCACCTCATTATTCTTTTCTTCTCTTAAAAAATGAAGCCCTACAGCCTGGATGCAGGATAATCTCTTGAAAACTATTACTATTCTAATTATTTACATTTCTCAGCTCCTAGAACCAACTCTAGTTCATCCACATTTTTAAACTAATCCACTTGCATTGTAAATCTATTTATGATTTTCAAATTAAATGTACAGTCAGGTGCTGGTGGCTCATGCCTGTAATCCTAGCTACTTGGAAGGCTGAGCTCAGAATTGTGGTTTGAAACCAGCCCTGCCAAATGGTTCTTGAGATCCCATCTTCAAAATAACCAGAGCAAAATGGACTGGAGGTGTGGCTTAAGCGGTAGAGCACCTGCTTAGCAAACATGAAGCCCTGAGTTCATACACCAGTCTATGAAAAAAAAAAATTTTTAAGTGTACAATAATTTAAAGAATGCAAACATCTAAAATGTGAGGTGTATGCAAGCCAATTATTAAATATTTATATAGCATTGCAGGATAAGAAGTACTTTAGAGAGGAAAAACAAACCAAATCTTTAATATACTCCCAATATAAGAGGCAGGGAAGGATAATAAATCTCTTGGTTAGTTTGTGCAGTGATATAATCAGGAAAATACCAGAATGCCAACACATCCCCAGAGTTATGAAATCCCAAAATACAGACTTTGATCCCCTAAGCCCATTTACCTATCCATCACAAGCAACTTTTTTTGAAAGAATCTCAAGAAACTTCCTTAGTCCAAACAGATTGAAAAACAATTTTCCTTCTGTACTTGAGTGTCTCACGGTGTGTTCCATAAAGTCTAATGGCTAGTTTTCATTTCTCTAGCTTCTAAGATAGTGATTTATGTTAAAGTAACAATTTGTCATTCTGGAGAATGAAACATAACAAGAGTGTGGCAACCAGTCCTTCAGAATGCTTCCTGGGTCAATAAATAGTACAGTACTGTCCCAACTAGTAAAAGGCATATCGGAAGTCATATAGGTTCTATCGTCCCTTCTTGGTACAGATAAGAATTTCCAGTTTCAGAAGATTCTTCTACCAGGAATCTCCCTAGGATTAACATCTCCTTCCTAAGTGTCTCCCTACCATCATTTTAATGCCACAAATCATACTTTCCTTGAACTTACTGACCAAGTGGACACTGTATTGATCTAAAGTTAGATAATTAATATCAATGTACCATCCATAAGTAAGGTTAAATGCTCTTTTGGATAGATTTGCCTTAATGGATAAAGTAGGAAATATTCATCAACTTGTAAAAAAGATTTACTTGGTTTATTAAAAATCATACTTAGGCCAGGTGCACTGGCTCAAGTCTGTAATTTTAGCCCAGGCATAAAGCGAGACCCTATCTCAAAAAATAACCAATGCCAAGAGGGCTGGTAGAGTGGCTAAAGTGGTAGAGCTCCTGGCTAGCAAGCTCAAGGTTCTGATTTCAAACTCTAGTACCGAAAAACAAACAAAACAAGTTATAATAGTTTCAAACAAAGGATGGCAGGGGAGATGTAGCACAGGAAGTTCAGAAGTCTCAATTCCTTCTAAGGACCTATCACAGACTTAAAACTCCAAAATGATACCGTCGAAGAAATTTGAGTCTGATGTTACAAATAATCAATATAATTTGGAAATCCTCCAAGAATTTCTGGTCACAATTCCTGTTTTTTGTTTTTTTTTTTTTTAATAAAAAAGCAACTAAATTAAATATGCAATGATCATATCCCAAGCATTCCTATGACAGGAATGCAGACTTCCAAGACTAAAGAATGACTCTGGAAGCTTACTAAGAACTCATTTGTATGATACATATCCATCTAAACACAACTAACCCATTATATACCTGAACCAAGAAAACAGGGAAGCAACATGTTGATAAAAGATGTGTCCTTTACATATTCTCTTTAGCAGTAAACCTAAAATATAAACCAAAACTCTCATCTTCTTTGCCTCTATACAGATCTCCAGTTTCATTTTATTCAGAAACAAAAAATTTGAGGCCAAGCAATACATGAAGAAAAGAATTGGCATAAAGAATCTATGGGAAACATTAGGAAATGGGAAACTTTTTGAACTTAGTTCCAACAAACAATAGTTAATTCCAGCAAAAGCACTTAGTTATTTATTCTTAGCCAGGTGCCAGTGGATCTTGCCTGTAATCCTAGCTGCTTGGGAGGCTGAGATCAGGAGGATCACAGTTCAAAGCCAGTCCAGGCAAATAACTTGAGATACCCCATCTCCAAAATATCCAGAACAAAATGGACTGGAGGTGTGGCTCAAGTAGTAGAATGCTTGCTTTGTAAAGGCAAATCCCTGAGTTCAAAGCTCAGTCCCACCAAAAATAAAAAAAAATTTAGTTGTTTATTCTTTCAAAATGAAAATTTAACTTAGCTTCTCAGGTAAATACTCAAAGCAGAAGCAACTACAATAGGATCCTATCACATCAAATAGAATTATATAGGCAAAAAAAAAGGGGGGTGTTCAGAAAAAAAAGACTAAGCTATCTATTATTATTTTGAAGCAAACAAAACTAATCACATCAATTTTTGTTCAAAACCACAGGCAAATAATCTGGCAACAAATTTTTTAGAACAGCCCTAACTGACAAACCAACCTCAATACTAAACATTTGGCAACCTACAGATAATGAGAGGAAAAAAACTGAAATACTTACCTTAAGAGCACAAAAGATGCAGGAATCTCCCATGCACTTATGAGTTGTGAGCTGCCTAAAGCTACGTCGGAAGATATCCAAGTGCCACAAAACCTTACAAAAAAGGAAAAATACTTCATTACTCTCTAGTCACCATTTAAATTCCAGAGTTCAAACAAGCAGGTAATGATCGCTGTGTGTGTGTGTGTGTGTGTGTGTGTGTGTGTGTGTATTCCCAAGAGAAAACTTCATTCTAGTGTCATTAGAACAAATCTCAAAAAAGGTAAGATAGCCGGGTGCTTGTGGCTCATGCCTGTAATCCTAGCTACTCAGGAGGCAGAGATCAGGAGGATCATGGTTCAAAGCCAACCCTGGGCAAAGAGTTTGTGAGACCCTATCTCGAAAAAACCCATCACAAAAAAAAGGGCTGGTGGAGTGGCTCAAGGTGTAGGCCCTGAGTTCAAACCCTAATACCACACACACAAAAAAAGTAAGATATCTAACAAAAGAGATAAATGCACATATTCTGAAAAAGACGATCTGAAAATGAAGTGAAGGTCACAGTGAAAATACACCATGAGATATATCAAAGGTGAGCCTGAAGAAGAAATTTAGGAGTTAAAAGCTACAGAATAGGGCTGGAGATATAACTTAGTGGTAGTATATTTGCTTGGCATGTATAAGGTCCTAGGTTCAATCCCTAGCACTGCAAAAAAAAAAAAAAAAAAAAAAGCTGGAGAATAAGGATTTTTTTTTTAATAGCCTACCCAAAACCAAGAAAAGGAAGAATATTTTTAAACTTGTATCAGAAGTTTGAACTATAATGTGAAATTTTGTCTTTGTTAGAATTCATGATTTTTGAACTTCTGAGACAAATGTGACTTCCTTAAGTCAACAGGATAAAAAGTAATGGTGACATCTTCATAGTACATACCCTTGATGTGATGTAATAAGAATGGTATTTTACTTTTGTGGTCTTCCTCCTAAAAATCCGTAACTCCAGTCTATCTAATCATAATACAAACATTAGACAAAGTCCAATACAGGAACAATCTACAAAATACTAACCACTAGTTAAAATTGTTAAGGTTGTCAAAAACAGAGATTCTGAGGAACTGTCACAGCAAAAAGGAGCCTAAGGAGACATGACAAGTAAATGTAAATATGGTAATCTGGAAGGGATCCTGGAACAGAGCAAGACACTAGATAAGGAGATCTGACTCCCTCTGCTTCCTGCTTTTCCAACCCACCCAGCCCATATGGCCAGGTGGGGCCACCATTGCTTTTTGTAATACCTTTCCCTTCACTTTAATAAACTCTTACCTCCCTTATAAGAAAAAAACAAAAAAACAAAAAACTAAGGAGGTATGAATAAACTGTGAACTTTAGTTTAAAAAGAAAAGAAATAATGCAATTAATAGCATCTCCTTCCAGTTGGAAAAAAGTTCCCTTGCTAGGAAAATATAACACTTGAAAAGTATTACTTCCAGAGTCCCAGATCACAGCACATCGAGGGAGCTTCTTTTACTTGTATGTCTCAAGATGCATATTCTAGAAGTTCTTTGAAGCAGGCTATGCTATAAAAATAACACCTTTTATAACAAATGCAATAGGTTCAACACATCTGTGATCCAACTTTCATATCAAAGGTAGCTATTAGCTCATAGTAACAATTATTTTCAACTTATAACATGATTATAGTAGGCAACTGAAAACCACCAATGCCTCAACCTTTAAATATGTATACAGAAATATGTGTGTGTGTGTGTGTGTGTACAGTATGTGTTCTAGATGCCACTGGACATTAGAATGAAAAGTAATATGCATTACTGTTTTAACTGACAAAATAATATAGAAAGAAATAAAACTACAAACCAGGACTATGGCCAAGAAGGAGGCAAACATACATCACTGCTTTATTTTGCCTGCTTCTAAATTGCAAAAAGTATCATTAGTACATAAAGTCACTCAAAAACCTGATACAGCAATACAGCTGGTGGAGTGGCTCAAGAAGTAAGAGTGCCTACCTAGCAAGCATGAAGCCCTGAGTTCAAACCCCAGTGCCACCACCAAAAAAAAAAAAAAGAAAGAAAAGAAAAACCTACTATATAGCACCTGGGAGAAAAAGCTAACCAATCTTATCTAATTATATGAAATTTGTGGTAATAATTAGGGAACTCTTTCTATAGGCTTGACAGCATAGGATTTTTTTAATGTTTTCAAATAAAAACTTGAAAACTGAGAAAGAATATAAAACTTTTATTACATAGATAAGCTTGGAAAGATTCTTGTATTATGAATGAGGGAACTCGGACACTATTACCTGTTCAAGGTCACAAGGCTAGTCTATAAAAGGGCTAAAACTAAAATCTAGGTTTCAAAATTCCAATGTTCTTTTAGCAAATACATTGTCCTGGTTTTCCCTCTCTCCCTCCCTCTTCCCTCCTCCCCCACCATAGCAATCTATTTTCTTATTATATCTAAGGAGTCAAGCTAACATTTTGACTAAACATAATTATTTTGGTTAGAAAATTTCATTTATTTTTACTGCAAAAAAGGAGAAAGGAGGGAAGAACATAATACTCTATAGGCCTGACTAGGCAGAGCAAACACAGGGGAAGCTTTGGGATTCCAAGACCACTAATGTGGTATGCAACAACAAAAGGGAAAATCTTGGATGGACAATCACCTTCATGGAACTGACTTTTCAGTATCTCTTTTCAAGCTTATCTAACCAGGTGCCAATCCATGAATCAATAGGAGATCTCAGAAGGAGGAGATGAAGGAGTGGACAAAGACTGTCTCATTCAGTGTGTGAGCTAAGAACATGAATATTATGAGACAAGAACAACATACCTGGAGGTCTTTTGACTTGTAGGAAGAATTTTGCTTTCTATTTTAGAAAAAAGTAACTAGGATAATAAGACAGCTTGTCTCAAAAAGAAAAAAAGGAAACAGAACAAATTGTTCAGGGGAAAAAAGTTGACAAACAAGTAGAAAGATCACCTGGCAGGTAAATAATAGTAGTAGTTACAGTTGTTATTATTTATATTGTCATTATGAATCCCTATTTTTCAAATGAGGTAACTGAAATTCAAAGAGATAAAGAGACCTGGCTAAAACCACACAGGTAAGCTTTAAAAATAATCTCAAGTTACCAACTCAGACTGTCAAGTACTATATTTAAAAAAAGAAAAAAAATACAGTATCAGCAACTAAAAGTGAGAGTTCACCAAAAAAGAAAGAAATTACCCTTACCTGCAGGGCACTATTGAGGAAGCAGCTGTTTTGCCCTGGCTCATTGCTGAGGCCTTTGCTGGGAGCTATGGAGGTTGAACTTCGAGGTGCAAACATTCCTTGGACACTACCACGGCCCCCTGAAAAATAACTTCTTTTCCAAGACATTATTGTTCACATTTAGCCTGAAATTGCAGAGAAGGTTTTCTATCTTTTCAGCAAGGAATTTTAGTCTGCTGAAGTCCTCAAAAGAAAGAGAATCCAGAGTTTAGTGAATTTATGTTGAAAGACTCTGAATTTACAACCTTCTAAACATCATCTCTGCAAACTCAAAGGATTCAGGTATCCTCCTACATCCAGATAATAGAGCTGTCTGTCCCTCACTCGCTCCACTATTCAAAATGTAACATGGCACAGAACTAATCTAGAGAGATTCTTAGATATTGCTTCCTTCTTTTTTTTTTTTTTTTTAACTGCCTCCAAAAAGTCCTGGTGAAATGGAAATCATCAACTCCAACAGCACCCAGGATCAAGGTGAGACATGTTCTTCAGTGTTGCTTATAATGCTTCTTGTGGACTGAAGATTTTTCCAACTGGAAGAAGAGGCAGGAATCCAATATAACCCTTCTCGCACTCTATTGCCTTGTCTAATCATCCTCTGTAACAAAAACCTAAGTTCTGAACAATTTAAAAGATCCTGCGTACAAAACCTAGAAGCTGGTCTGGATTATCTGGAGTTTTGGTTGATGTTCTTGGCTGCTTCTTTTTAAAGTGTCCCAAGTTTCTTCTATCGTCTCAATCAGATCTTCAGAAAGTCTCTTCTCTTTTCTTCTAGGACTAGAATAGCCAGCTGTGCCAGAGAGCTTTAACAGAAAGAAAAAAAAAGCAAAAGCTTGCGTCACTTAATGACTCTGCTGGCTTTGCACTGTTCTGCCAAGATCAACGTTGCCTCACCTCTCACTATAAACTTGAAACCTTGGCAAATAATACCAAATAAAAAAAGAAAAATAAGAAAAAAACCTAACAAAAACAGAGAAACACTCAAACTAAAGAAAATAAACGGTGTGAGCAGCTGAACTTCCATAGGAAACTTCTCTGAAGTTCTTAAATTTTCTTAAAGGGGATCTGGATAGAAATAAAAACTAAATACAAACTTTCCAGAAAAAAAAAAAAAAAGAGTACCAAGTAAGCACACACCAAAATAGGAATTAAGTTTCTTTTGGATATTGTGAGCAAAACACTTTTTTAAAGGTGTTTTCCATGTATGGTTATGAAAAACCTGCTTAAAGGTGAAAAAGACAAGTTAACAATGATCAACTCTATTTTTTTTATAGACCATTTGCAGTATCGACACAGTGACCATTTTATAGAAAACAAGAAACATACAGAATGATGCTTTGTTTATCTAAGCTCTCAGAATTAAAGCAACGTAGCAAACATGCATATTTGGGTACAAAAACACAGATACACTTATAGAAGCTCAAATAATACATCATAGTAATTACAAACACTGACAATTATCACCTTAGGAAAATCAATACAGTGATTGCCAGGAGAATCAGATAGGAGCAACCAGGGTGTTTTAAGTCCTGGTTACGCAGAGACACTAATCACGTTTCATACGAATTCCAATCATCATGTTCTATCTACCCTCCAAAAGGAGGAACAGTTAAGGATTATCCCACGTGATGATGTCTATTCTTGAGTAAAGATGTTACATCCCAAAGAAACACATAAGGGATAAGTAAACTACATATCCCTAACATCCAGTCCAACAGACCTAAATCTTCTCCTGCCATGCTTGTTTTTGTTTTGTTCTGTTTTGTTTGCCAAAGAAACAGAGGAATCCTTATATCAGAGGAGTTCACAATCAGAGGCCCTTCATTTACCAACATTCAGTTTCAACCCATCAAAATGCTATACAGAAACAATGAGTAATACCAAAGCAAGCACCTTTCCTGGAAAGAAATCATCTGCTCTTAAGCTTTTAAAATTCCCTGTACATTGCCATGTCAACAAAAAGAAAAAGAACTATTAAATTTCTAATAGCCCCTCAAGATTTTCCCTTCCTTTCTATCATATGTACCACTTCAAAAAGCAAATAGGGCTGGGCACAGCGACTCAGGACTGTAATCCTAGCTACTCAAGAGGTAAAGATTGGGAGGATCAAGGTTCGAGGCCAGTCCAGGAAAAAATTTCATGAGACCCTATCTCAATAAATAAAAAGCAGGGTGAGGTGGCATGTACCTGTCATTCCAGCTACTCAGGACACGTAAGTACAAGGATTGTGAGGCCTTATTCAAAAAATAACTTAGGCAAAAAAGAGCTGGCAACATGGCTCAAGTGGTACACCACCAGCCTAGCAAGTGCCAGGCCCTGTGTTCAAACTCTAGTACTGCCAAAACATAAAATAAAAAGCAAATAGGACATGGCATAGTAGCACACACTGTGATCCCAGCACTCAGAAGGCAGAGGCAAGAAGATCTTGAATTCAAGGCCAGCCTGGGCTACATAGCAAGACACTGTATCAAAAAACAAAAAAGCAAAAATGCTCTAACATCTTAATCATTGTCTTAGGAAAGTACCTGGCATTATACAGTGTACTCTTGAAAAAACTGAGGCACAGAATACTAAATGATTACACAAGAGCTGCAGAATCAGTTTAAGTAGTAGAGAACCTACTAGCAAACTCAAAGCTCTGAGTTCAAAACTCTGGTGCCATCAAAAAAGCAAACAAACAAACGGTTGCACAAGACTCTTCTTTCCCTTCTCTAAATTCCCACACTATTTATAATTTTCATAATCTACATGTCACAATTAAAATATTTGATTTTACACTGTACTGTCATATTATTTACTTTGTTTTATATGACATAAGTCATATATCCTGAATATGGCCATATTAAATGAAATACTAACTAGCATCAGGCATACAGTAAACACTGTATCTACATTCTGTATCTTTAGAATAGCTTATCAGGTATATATTAATAGTTCAATTTTATGGAAGAATAAACTGTAGCTTAAAGATGTTAACTTCCCAATTCAAAGTTGGTAAATAGCAGAGCTAGAACTATTTGACTATTATGTGGTCATTTAATAATATATTTTATTAATCTAATCTAAAAGGTCTATCAAGTGATAGTCATAAGGAGGCACTCAATAAATACTGCCTGGTGATTAACATAGCATCAAGGAAGGAACCTATACACTTCTCCCAGAGACCACAAGACCCTCACCTCTCTACACACCCACTATACACACCCCACTTGAGGCCACTAAGCAACTTCCAACAAGCCACACAGCATTCCTTCAGTTCAAGTGCTGCAAAGGAATGACAAGTACCAAGTCTCAACTTTGCTCACAGCCAAAAGGTCTTGGCAGGTTGTTGGGGGTTTCCAGTATTCATGTTAGAAGCTTACTGAACTTAGGTGCCCATATTGACACACCACCAGAGTTACCAGGAGCAAAGAGGAAAAAAAAAGACAGTAGCAGAAAAAGATTCTCAGGCTCTGAATGGCCAGCATTAGTAGGTTAAGTGTGAGTTCTCACCACTTGCTGTAGGTGTGTCAGAAACTAGACGGTGAGAGACAAAAAGAACAAAGCAAACAGAGGCAGTAAAAATGATCCAGGGAAATTATATGACAAAAACATGTTCACTGAAAATGAAATGTTTAGATCTAGGTCCAACACCAAATAGTACAACTGTTCTTCAATGCTATGTATGGAAGATATATGAGAAAGTAAATTATATTTCCATGTATATGGCTTTAACAACCTGCTTTTTAAAAAGAACAAGACCTTTTTTTAGGTAATACTGAAGTATTTCAGCATATAAGAGCATAATATCTACAATTTAACTCTCAAAATGGATTCAGAAGAAAAAAAATATATGTGCATATAGAAAAAGACAGAATTACGTAAGAGTAAAGCAAATATAGTTAAAATGTAACAACAGGTGAGTCTTGCTAATGTGTATATTGAGAGGGGCTGGGAGGCATGGGCCTCAAGTGGTAGAGCACCTGCCTAGCCAGCACAAAGCCCTAAATCCAGGCCTCATTACTACCAAAAAGGTGGGGAGAGGAATATGAGAATTCTTTATACTATGGCAACTTGTGTATAAGCTTTTTAAAGTTGAAAAGAATTGATATCTTTAAAAAATTAAGTTTTTTAAATTATGTTGAGAATTACGTTACCTTTTGCATAGTTAATCCTATATAGTGATTTCAACAAAGAATCATGATAAACAATCATCAAATAAGTATGTAATAACCTATGCCAAGATAGAATTGGCAATTTTCAAATTTAGAGGGGGAAAAAAAAGAAAAAGAAAAGACAAAAACAGTATAGATATGAGTATAAATAGAAAACAAGCTTGAATACTACAGAGCCAAGTGTAGTAGTTTGCTGCCTCATAAATCCCAGCTACTGGAGATGAGGCAGACTTAGACAGCCTAGGCAAACAGAGGAAGAACCGATTTCAAAGGAAAAAAAAAAAAAAAAAAGGAAAGCTCAAAATTACAGTATAATGTCTGGGACTGGGGATGTAGCTCAGTAGTAGAGCACTGCCTAGCATGTGCAAGTTCTCCAGCACCAGGGGCGTGGACAGTGGGGATGATCTACCAATGTACAAATATTAAGCCTATATTGGACTGTCACAATGAATCACCCCTGAATATTGCCCTAATAAAAAAAAATTTTAATGAACAAATCATAGTCTACTGTCATGTTGTTATAGGAGCGGAAGATACAAATAACATATATAAAGAAGGACTAGGGCCTATATTTGAAAGATAGAAGAAGGTTCCAATTTCCACATTTTCAACTACTTGGTATAATCTCAGATCTCAGGCCAATGACTACAAAGTGTCATAACTTTAGTTTTCATATTACCTACGAAAAGTGCCATAAACTTATTTGTGGAAAACAAGATATCTGTTTCACAAAGTGAGACTTTTATGCAATACCATTAAGATACTAGCAGATTTGAAAACAAAGAGCAATAATGAGTCCACTAAATGACGGGAAACTACCATGGCTAAAAGTACAAAAGTGAATTTTGTTTTAGAGACAAAAAGTACGCTACCCAGAAATAGGTCCTATTAAGCTTCTAATAATAGATCTTCTAATAGCACTTAAAAAAAAAAAAAAAACCCACTGGTGGAGTGCTCAAGTGTACAAGTGATGTAGAGCACTTACCTGCTTTAGCAAGCATAAGGCCCTGAGTTCAATCCTCAGTACTACCATAAAACACAATGAAAAAATTAGCTACATAAAATAGGTGATATGTCAGCACAAACTACATTGCTAACAGACTAAGGGTATTATGCAGTTGGAATGTAGCTCAGGGATACAGCACATGCCTGGCGTGCACAAGGCCCGGGTTTACATTGGCAAGGAAGTGGAGAAACCTACTGCTAGGAAAAGAAAAAAGTTTAAATTTCACGATTATTTTTAGGTACCACTCTTCCTTTTTTTTTTTTTTTTGGCAGGTACTGGAGTTTGAACTCAGGACCTCAAGCTTGCTAGGCAGGCCAACTCTCCTACCGAGCCACTCTACCAGCCCCCATGATTATTTTTAAATGCAGAGTTTAACTTAATCCAAATTAATTGAACCTACTATGAGGAAAAAGGTATAAATTCAAGTACTACAAAGAATAATTGGTGTTCAAACAATTAATGATACAAATGGAAAAAACCATAACAGAATCTGTTTTATGAATGGACAGTAGTCCATACTAGTCACTAAAGCCAAAAATAGGGTTTCTGGGTGCAGTTCAGTCAGTTAGGACATTGACTAAAAAGGCATTGAGACTTTGCGGTTCAAATCCTTTAGCACTGAGTCCTTGGGTTGAACCACCCCCAAAGAAGTGCTAATTTTAAAAGTCAAATACCACTTACACCAAGATAGCCAGGTTAACCACAGAAAGAAGTTACTTATTTCT